GCATATTGAATACATCATGGGCTGGAGCGATAGCACATTGGGTAAGGCGTTTGCCTTGCACATAGCCAACATGGCCAACCCGAGTTCGATTCCTCCACCCCTCTCGAAGAGCCTGGCAAGCTACTGAGAGCATCTTGCCCACATGGCAAAGCCTGGCAAGCTCCCCATGATGTATTTGATATGCCAAACACAGTAAAAACAAAGTCTCACGATGAAGACGTTACTGGGTCCTCTTGAGAAAATTGATGAACAACGGCAGGACAGTGACAGTGACAGTGAATACGTCATGGGTAGCTTGCCAGGCTTTGCCATGAGGGCGAGATCCTCTTGGTAGCTTGTCAGGCTATCCAAGAGGGGCCGAGAAATTGAACCTGAGCCGACCAGGTCGGCCGCGTGCAAGGCAAATGCCTTACCCATGTGCTATTGCTAAATTTGTGAAAAATTTTATATCATACCACAGCGTTGTTAAATCTTTGCCGATTTACTAAGTAGTTTGCTGCCAGTTGAGACTTCTGTGTTATTGCTTCTGCTGTGACATTTGGTTTGTTTCATTGTTACTTCCCATTTAATTAGGTTAGGTTTGCTTCTGCTGGAATTCAATAGTACTGAAATTTCAGGGTCTGTAGAAACAAACTGATTCTGCAGAAATTCTTTTGTTAATTTTTTTTTATTGAATCACTGTGAGATAGCACATTACAAAGATGTTCATGATAGGGTTTCAGTCATACAGTGTTCCAACACACATCCATCCTTCCACCAATGTACATTTCCCACCATCATTGTCCCCAGTTTCCCTCCAATAACCCCCCTACTCCCCTCACCCTAGCCTCCCGCTATGGCAAGGACCTTTCTCTCCCTCTCTCTTGATCTTTCTCCCTCTCTCCCCTCTCTTTTTCTCTCTCTCCCTTTCCCTCCCACTCTCTTTTTCTCTCTCTTCTTTTGGTCATTGTGATTGAGTCTGCAGAGATTCTTAGTGAAGCTAAGAGACTGGGCAGTTGGCATGGCAGTAGCATTGGGGTGGAAGTAGGCTGTTGGGACTTTGGCAGGGCAGAAATTCTGCCTGGCCCCTCCCAAGGATGCCCCAGAATTTTCAGCCAGGAGACCAGTGTATCTGTGAATGTTAGCTGCTTTGCTTGTATCTCCTCAGATATTTAGTTCATGAATCTGAAAAGCAGGGCTAGTAGGTGGGTTAACATGGAGGTGGCTGTGAGAGGTGGGTAAAAAAACTTTAATACAAAGTAATTATTACATATATACATGTTCCATCTAATAAATACATTACATGTTCCATCTCTTAAATAATTCTTCAAATCTAAGTTTTCCATACTGACCATGACTCCTGAATTTTATCTGTTCCTCAAAAATTACAGCCGCACCCTCTCCAAAGATTCCGCTAACATGTTAGTTATTTATGTATAATCTCTACTGACAGGCTCATATTATTCATGACTTATTTCAACGAACCCATAAGAACAGATTTCTTCCCCATCTTATCTTGAATGATCTTTCCAAAGTATTTTATAAATAAATGCCAAAAGAATGTGACTACATTACTTTAAAGCAGGAGACCAAGATATTTTAGGACCTGTCTTCAATTAATTAGAAATGGAAATTATCAAAGTTGTATGATGATGGGATTTAAATCCCCTCCCTTTTAGGCTCAGGGAGTGAAAGCATGAGTATTTCTGGTGTTGTGAATCAGTATCAGGCACAAAAGAAAGAGACAGATTACCACAGTAAAACTTTTAACAGCAGCAACTTTAGGTTTGTTGTTCTTTTTAAATCACCTTTCCTCCAATATCAGAAGACAAAAATCCTTGAGAACAAACAAGTTCCTGGTAGTTGTTTGATAGTTATTGTCATTATTCCTCTTAGGGAAAACTCACTTATTATCTACTGCCAATAACATTTCTTCTCTCCAGGGAACGAAACAACTCCACCCCCCCATCCCTTTCCCCCACCAAATTTGTGTCTAATTTGGAGCTTGCAGTAAGGGAATTGATATTCCATAAGGATCCTCTCCATAATTGTGAAGCTTGAATTTAAAATCATCACTTAAGTTTTAAACAACCCTGTACCAATAAATAGCTCTTATGTTGTTTTGAACTGATAATTTTCCCTATTGCAATGCATCTTTGAGATATCTGGAGACTCCACATGCTTCACGGTATGTAGTGTCTTCTAGAGATCAATGGAAGACCTCTCCATTATAAGTGATAGTATATATGTCCTATGTGTCCAGCAGTTAAAAGACAATGCCAGGAATAGGATCATGAAACTGTAGAAATTGTAGAAATTCAGTAGAAATTGTGTGTGTGTGAGTGTGTGTACAGTGTGTGCATGCTTAGGTGAAAGGAGAGAGAGTTAACATATTAGTGTATGGTACTATGTCATAGCAAGACTTTATCTCTTGTAGAATGAGTTACCCTTACTTTTTATTTTTCAGAGACTGAGAAATGTCTCTTGATAATTTCAACTATTAAACATTCCAATTTCCTGAATATTTTATCCCAATCTGTAATTGTCTTAATCTCTGTTGCCACTATCTGGGTGTGAACATATATCATTTGATACATAAATTACTGTGGTAATATTTGATTAATATTTCTGTTAATAGCTGCATTTCTAGTGTATGTTTTGTACCCAGTGGCTGCTTACTTGTTTAACATTTTAATATTCATTCATATCTTGATTTTAACCTTTTAACTTGGCTGTTCTATTGCTCTAGAATAAAATAAGAACTTTCCTTTCGAGATATGAGAAAAGTGCTTACATATTCTGTGAAAGTTCTCTCACATTTTACCTATTTATGATGATCATGATCCTGAATTTTTTGGTACTCAAGCAACAAAACTGATGCCTCAAAATGTAAGTCAAACACTTAATTATAAAAATATTCACATGACAGCCTATTGTTATTCAGGATTCATTTTAAAGAACACATAATAAATAGACTTCTGCACTTGCAAATTATCATTTAGCAATTACTATCAAGGTTGATAACATGTACATGTAAATAAGTAAATGGTTTTATATATATGTATAGCTTAAAGATATCTAGGAATTTTTCTTCAATATATATGCTATGTGAAAGTGAAATATGTTATAAATGAAATATTTCTAAAATGGAAAAATATTGGAAAACCCAACTCTACCAGACTACTTCTTCAGCACCCAATTGTGAGAAATTGATTATTACTCAGTAGCAACTATGATACTGCGTAATTGATCTCAGATAATTACACTAAATTAGTAGGTTTAATGTAATAGACTGAAGAATATAGAAATTACAAGGATAATCAAGGCTAATTGTGAAAATTGGGATCTTATGTATTCTCTTTTGACTCTCAAAATCAATCCAATAGCGAGATAAATTCTCAGTTCTTAATTGTTGACTAAGTCTTTATATAGTACGTAAAGTCTACTTTTGTTTTTGTTTGGTTGGTTTTGGTTTTTGTTTAGAGGCCATGCTCTCCTGTACTGCGGGGTTATTACTGGCTCTGCACTCAGCAATTACTCCAGGCTATGCTCAGGGAACCGTGTGGGATGCCGGGGATCAAACCTGGGTCAGCTGTGTGCATGGCATGCACCCTACCCATGTACTATCTCTCTGGCCCCGAACTTTACTTTTGCTTTTGTTTTGAGGGTCACATTCAGTGATACTCAGGATTTAATCCTGGTTTTGCACTCTCCTAAGTTATTACTGGCTCTCGCTCAGCAATTACTCGTGGCAGTGCTCGGGGAAGCGTTTGGGATGCCAGGGATAGAACCCATGTCTGCTGTGTGGAGGGCAAACATGGTACCCGCTGTATGATCACTCCAGACCCAGTATGTAAATTCTACTTTGAGGATGACACAATATTTCATTTTCTTTTCTGGTCATTTTCAAGTGTTCACATGGCAGATATGAGAAAACTGATCTGAAGAAGAGAGAAAGTATATCAGCAAAATAATGTGAAAATATGACCAAAAATGTTGAAAGCAAGTCAATTATTTATTTGGCATAAAACCCAAGTTAGGAAAATTATAAAAGAAAGCTTTTTCTGGTAAACAATATTGGACAGACATTGACAAATAACTTTAACATTTGTAGGTTCAGGGCATAATTTGAAAGGAAAAAATATCCCTGAAGATCTGAGAATTTGAAAAAAGTCTTTTTATGAGTTAAAACTAAGAATATGGTGGGAAATTGGAAGAGAGACACTTTTTTCTATATACTACAAAAATTCTTCGGTCAGAGTGATAGTGCAGCAGTAAGAGGGTGTGATCCCCAGCACCACATATGGTCCCTGGAGCACTTTTAGGGTTGATGCCTGAGTTCAGAGCCAGGAGTAATACCTGAGCACTGCGGGGGCATGGCCTCAAAGCAAAAACAATCCCGCAAAAGGCTTTAGAAGGAATAATTGCAGATGAAATGTTTTGAGAAACGAGATGTAATTGTCTTAAACAAAGCACTCTTGTAAGACATTTCACTATATCTTTTATGTTGCTGACATAGATTCTTCACCTTAATCATTTATCCAGCCAGTTACATGTGATATTTCTATTATTTCCCCAGTATTGATAGATTATAAACAAGACCAGTGCACTAGATGGTTCTATATTGATTAAATCCATGAAAATCAAGCACTAGCTCTAGCATGTATGAGAATTGGGGGGAAGGTCAGGAGAAATCTGTGGTTCATTGGTGCTTTTAATTATCGATAACTGATCTAATCTTGCGTTGTAATTTAGTAAATTCAGATTTATGTCATGAAATCCTTATGTGGACACATTACCTGAGCTGATCATCATTCTGACTTTTTATGGCTTCTCAAAAAGAAATTGTGCTTTTCTAAGTGGGCACTAATGTACAGTTGAATGTACATGAGCTATTCAGATCAATACTTACGAACTGACTCATCCTAAACCATGTATTCCTATGTGATAGTCAATAAAATTTATGGTTCTTTAAAATGTCTGTCTCATTTTGTATTTCCAGTCAAAGAGAAGACAATGAGGTGGGACAATATGAGCTGTGTGTCTGAGTTCATCCTCTTGGGGCTCCCCAGCTGGACAGAGAAACAGGGTCTATATTATGCCCTTTTCCTGGTCATGTACCTGACCACCGTGCTGGGGAATCTGCTCATCATCCTGCTCATCAGGCTGGACTCCCGCCTCCACACCCCCATGTACTTCTTCCTCAGTCATCTGGCTCTCACTGACGTCTCTTTTTCTTCAGTGACAGCCCCAAAGATGCTCTTTAATATGCAGACACAGAGTCAATCCATTTCCTATGCTGGGTGCGTATCTCAGGTGTATTTCTTTTTACATTTTGGGTGCTTGGACAACCTCCTTCTCACCTCCATGGCCTATGACAGGTATGTGGCCATCTGTCACCCCCTTCACTACATCACCATCATGAGTCAGAGTTTATGTTTCTTGTTGGTAATGATGTCCTGTATCCTGTCCTCTGCTGTGGGCCTCTTGCACTCCCTCCTCTTGGCCCGTCTGTCTTTCTGTGGAGACAACATTGTCCCTCACTTCTTCTGTGATCTTTCTGCCTTACTTAAGATGTCCAGTTCAGACACCACCGTGAATGAACTGGTTATCTTTACAGCAGGAGTAGTGGTCATTACTGTCCCATTTATGTGCATTCTGGTGTCTTATGGGCGAATTGGGGCCACCATCCTGAGGGTTCCCTCTACCAAGGGGATCTTCAAAGCCTTGTCCACGTGTGGTTCACACCTCACTGTTGTGTCTCTCTACTATGGGTCAATTATTGGGCTCTACTTTTTGCCCTCATCCTCTAACTCCAATGAGAAAGATGTCATCGTGGCTGTGCTCTACACTCTGGTGACACCCATGCTAAATCCCTTCATCTACAGTTTGAGGAATCATGATATGAAAGGGGCTCTGGGAAATATTCTTAACAGAATAATGTTTTCATCAAGATAAAAATTGTTTACTTAAAATTCAACATAAGATCTGGTCCATCCTGCATAAGCAACACAAACATCATTATGTTTGGATTTGTAATGGTTTTGAATACATTTTTCTTTTTAATTGAATCACCATGAGATACCCAGCTACAAAGTTATTCATGAATGAGTTTTAGTTATACTATGTGCCATCACTTTTCTCTCCACTAGTGTGCATTACACCATCCATGTTTCAGCAGTCTTTATTTTCCTCAGAATCATCTCAAACGTAGTTGAATAGTTTAATTTTTTGATTACTGTAGAAAGTCTGCATGGGTGAATGTTCATATAACCTTAACAGCATTACTACACTTTCCAATTTTTTCTTCTCCTATTTTAATACATTGTTTAAATCCATTTATATATTTTAGTGTCAATACATGTTTCTATTTTTGCATATTCTTTATGTTTATAGAATTTATGTAGAAAATTTTCTTCTATATTTAAAATCTGGGCTGGCACAATAGTACAGCGGTAGGGCATTTGCCTTGCATACTGCCAACCTGGGTTCGATTCCTCTGCCCCAGCAAGCTACCGAGAGTATCCAGCCCGCATGGCAGAGCCTGGCACACTCCCCACGGTGTATTCGATATGCCAAAAACAGTAACAAGTCTCACAATTTGTTGTAAAATGTTACTGGTGCCCGCTCGAGCAAATCAATGGACAATGAGAGGACAGTGCTACAATGCTAATTAAAATCTATTTCTTTTCAATTTTATTTTATGTAGCAAAACATTCCTTTTTCATACTTTCATTGCTGCTACATTATGACACTAATTAGAATAATTAGAATACAGAAATCCTTCCATTATTATCCCAGTTCTACTGACCTTATCTCAGAGTTGGTTCCATTGGTGATTGTCTTGTAATCCTTTTAACTTATTCAAATCCCCAAAGAGCTAAATCATCTGTTGTCTCTCCTTTTATTTCAACTCACTTTATTATGACTTTCTCTAATTCTGCCAAAGTTGCAGTTTACAAGATTTTATCTTTGTTTTTATCTGAGTATTCCGTTGACACATATACTATGATTTAATTTTTCTGCGCATCTATTGTTGACCACTTGAGTTGTTTCCAGATTTTGTGCATTGTAAATAATGCTGTGATAGCCCTTCCTCACACCACATAGAAGACTTAAATCAAAATGGATGAAAGATTTTAGAAACTACATTGAGGAAAACATAGATAGGCAGAACTCTTCAAGATTTTGACTTTAAAAAAAGTCTTCAATAATATAATTCTATTGACAAGGAAAACAAAAGCAGAAAGTGGTCACTTGTGCTTTAACTCAGAAGGCATCTAGCCATAAAAATAACTCATTAATTTGAAAACATACATGTTAATCTATGTTCATTTCAGTTCTTAAAACAGCATTTAGGATATAAGTACAATCCAAATGTCCAAATACAGATGAACGCATAAAGAAGTTACAGCATATGTACACAACGAAATACTATGCATCTGAGGTAAAAGATGAAATCAGAAAGTCTTCTTCAATTTTTAATGGAACTAAAAGATAACATGTTAAGTGGAATTAATCATAGAGAGAAGTATACTGGAAGATCTCACTCATCTGTGTTATACAGAGAAACAAAACAAAGGAATAGACAGGACCAAATCATGACAAACTTGTGATCTTGTATAACAAAACCTAGATTATCAAGAAGAAGAGAAATTGATGAAGAAATAGATAGAAGTAACATAAAGACATTGATGAAGGGTATTGATTACTTTGGTGGTGATGAGGTATAGTTATTGTATAGCAATACCATAAATATTAACCCTATTGTAAACATGTTATCTTAACTAAGATAATATTTCAAAATTACCTCCACAAATAAAGAAAAGAAACAAAAATAAACAAATAGTACTACATTCATGTAAAAACTTCTGCACTGAGAAAGGAATGAGACCTAAAATAAAGACATGGACTGGGAGAAAATCTTTGTGCATCACACACCAGAGGGCTAATTTCCAATATACATATAAAGGACTCTGAAAGATCAACAATATAAAAATAACAAGCAACCCTAACAAAAATGGATAAGGAGAAAATGAAATGACAATTCCTTAAAAATGACAGTAAGATAGTCAACAGACATACATCAAGGTATTTATCAGCATTATTAGGAAATGTAAATCAAAATTGTAATGTTGGTATCACTTCATACCAGAGAGATCAGTTTATATCCAAAAGTCTGAAAGCAAATAAATGCTGACAGGGATTTGGCAAAAAAAGTCTTTAATTACTTCTAGTGGGACTGTTGCTTGGTCAGTCTCTCTAGAAAAAAATAGTTTGAAGACTTCTCCAAAACTTAAGGCTAGAACTTCCATTTGACTCTACAATTCTACTATCAAGCATTTCTCCAAAGAACACAAATATATTTACAAATATATTTCTTATGGTAGGGTCATAATTTTTGCATGTAATTTCATGATTACATGCAAAACTTAGGGCTGGATTAGGGCTGGAGCGATAGCACAGCAGTATGGCGTTCGCCTTACAAGCGGCCAACATGGCCGACCTGAGTTCGATTCCTCTGCCCCTCTCAGAGAGCCCGGCAAGCTACCGAGAGTATCTCGCCCGCACGGCAGAGCCTGGCAAGCTCCCCGTGACGTATTCGATATGCCAAACACAGTAACAACAAAGTCTCCAATGGAGACGTTACTGGGCCCGCTCGAGCAAATCGATGATCAACGGGAGGGCCTTTTAAATTTCATGATACATTTGGGATTTATTTTCTAGTGACTTAAATCAGAAAACTAGTTCTACTGTTATTTGTTCCTTTTATTTTAAAAACATAACTATCCTTTTTCTTACCTGTTATCAGTAATCTAAAATATTCCAGAATTTCAGAAGTATTTGAATAATATACACAGAATGTTGATTATATAGTAATTTGTACTTGAAAGCTGCTAAGAGCGGGGTTCAACTTTCTCACCTGACACATAAAAGAAGTTACTGAAGTGAAGTGAGGGGTGTTTTCATTATCTCAATCCTGTTAACTGTCCTACAGTTAATGTATCAATAATGTGATATATCAATCATCACATTATACACATGTCCTTGTAATTTCTCAACTTGGCCCACTTTTTCTGGAAGTTTTTAAATTTAAATATATATCATGGTAGCATACAAATATATATATGACAGATATGCAGTTAAATATATAAATATAGTATGTCATATGCACATTGTAAATATGGTATTTATATATACAAGTAAGCAAAAGTAAAATAATTTCATTCTAATTTTGCTTTTGTTGTTTAATATTATCTTTTTAAATGTACTCATATTACATAATATTTCGCTGGGAAGTTCTAATACACTGCTTGCTCTATTTGGATGCTGCTCAACTAGCAGAAGTTAAGAACTAATCCTGACCCAGTACTCAGGGGTCAAAGCAGTACCAGGAATCAAAGTCAGTTCTCCAGCATGAAAAGGCAAATGATCAGTTCACTGGGTTATCTCTCTGGTTCACTGTTCTATATTTGGTGGGTGGGAGAGGGAATAGGACCACACCTGACCATGCTGAGGGCTTACTCCGGGCTCAGATATCACTACTGGATATGCTCAGGGTACCATCTGTGGGTAGTTCCAGGGATCAAATCAGGGTCTGTGGCATGCAAAGAGAACACATTTCCTCCCTGCACTATTTTACCTCCGCCCTCCCACCCCCCATTTATTTTTTTAAGACAGTTATGTGAAGTAGAGATGAGAGAGGCAGAAGCCACAAGAAGGAGATTTACTGCTTTCTCTCTGTACACCTCTGCCACTCTGGGGACTCCTGGGAAAAATCTAGGACTTCTAAGAGTCTGCGGGTCTGCTGTGAGTCTTGCTCTTTGCAGGAAAGAAGCTCAGTCCAAGACCTTATGCAGGTTCAGATCCATCACCTTTACCTCTCAGAAAAGAATTTCAGGAGTAGATTCACTGTAAAGTAAAAACAGATGTTATTTGGAAATTCTGAGGAAAGGGGGATAAAAGTTGTGTGTGGGAGAGAGAGAGAGAGAGAAAGAGAGAGAGAGAGAGAGAGAGAGAGATGGGCAGGGGAGTATATAATGTATTCAAGAGAGAACACAGACGCTTCTCCAGAGTGGTCCAGAGTGGAGAGATAGACCTAGAACACATCTCAACATTAGGTATTAGGTATTAAAAATACAGCTCAAGAGGGAAAGTGCTTGGGCAGTCTATGTTCCTGACAGCAGTACGTGTTTGGGCAGCATATGCACATGCTTCCTTTGTTCAAGTTGGCTATTAAAGGATTTCTCCCACATAGGGCTTTCTTCCTAGGTAAGAGTCTACTGCTAGGGTGGTGGCCAAGGGGTAAGTTTGGGAGCAGTCGCTGGTTTTCTTTGATATTCCTTTCCTGACTTTTGTTCATGTTGGAGCTTCTCTCACAGTAGGGTCCAGGCTTCTCTGGGTCTTTTTTTTTTAAACAGTTGTAGACTTACAAATTTTTGTGCTTGGGTTTCAGTTATACAATGATCGAATACCCATCCCTCCGCCAGTGCCCATTCTCCACCACCACCAGTCCCAGTATTCCTCCCACCCCCCTTCCCGCCATCCCACCCTACCACTGTGGCAGGGCATTCCCTTTTGTTATCTCTCTCCTTTTGAGTGCTGTGGTTTGCAAAAGAGACATTGAGTGGCAATCTTGTTCGGACTATAGTCTACTCTCATCACGCATTTCCCATCCTGAGAGGAAACCTCCCAATACCCTTTATTTGGTGCTCTCTTCACTATCTGAGCTGCCTTTTCCCCTAGCGTGTGTGGCTGTCCTCAAAGCCATGGAGTAATCCTCCTGGTACTTATCTCGGCTATTCTTGGGTGTTAGTCTCCTCTTTTGTTACTTTATGTTCCCCAGATGAATGCAGTCTTTCTATGTCTATCCCTCTCTTTCTGACTCATTTCACTTAGCATGATGCTCTCCATGTAGTACCACTTGTATGTAAATTTCATGACTTCATCCTTTCTGA